TCACTATGCAGACAAAGATGGCATTTTTACAAACATAATTATATATATAATATTTAAAAAATGGTAATTTTTATTGCACAAGAACTATAAATTTTGTGAGTGGCATGCTTGAACACTACTAAGAAGGAACTACGAACGTATGCTTTGTTTTATTTACAGTAACGTAACAAACTGTCTATCTCGAAATATTGAATTATTCGATGAACAAAACACCAGGAAATAAGTAGTTTTTATTTTATTTCATTTATTTTTAGTATATCCTTGGCCAAAAAAAATTTGGAATAAGAATTTAGTTCCAACATCATAAATTTAGCTTTACTAATTTTCATGTGAGGTATATCTATCATAAAGAGCAGTACAAACAACAATGATAAATCTATAAAACAATCCAGGCTTGTATAAATTCATAGAATTTATACTTCAGATGATACAGAGAATACTAAATATTAATGAACAATTCTTTGAATAGCACTAATAAATTTGACAATTAGTAATCTATCTTTCTGTGCTGTTTATTAGCAGCAATCAATTTTTACTTTTACTAGTTTTATGTTACGTGGATGCTAGGATTGGCTGGTATGGAATCAAAAATATTAGCCTGACCCATGGATGCTAGGATTGGCTGGTATGGAATCCAAAATATTAGCCTGACCCGTGGATACTATGATTGGCTTGTATGGAATCAAAAATATTAGCCTGACCCATGGATGCTAGGATTGGCTGGTATGGAATCCAAAATATTAGCCTGACCCGTGCATACTATGATTGGCTTGTATGGAATCAAAAATATTAGCCTGACCCGTGGATACTATGATTGGCTTGTATGGATTCAAAATAATTAGCCTGACCCGTGGATACTATGATTGGCTTGTATGCATTCCTAAATATCAACTTGACCAATTGTTTAAAAAAATCGTAACAACGTAGGACTTCTAACTGGAAGTATTAGTTACATTCATGTCACGTGAGAGCTTATCAATGCAAAGAAAGGGATAGTACTTTACATAGGCTCAGCAACAAAGACCCCCCCACTGGATTCAATTTAACATGGTGTATATCCTGACAACTTTAGCACCAATTAATTTTTTCAGGTATCTATTCTTGTGTTTAAGCCTCTCAATATGGGCTTGGTCATTTTGATCAACCTTGCAATCACAAGGTGATTATGAAACTGTACATACTACAACTGTTGATGTAGTAAACGTTTCTTTTAGAAATTTAGCAAGCTTTTTGTATACATTACAATATTTTGTACACAACAAATTAGATATCTTAATTATTTTTTACTGAAGGTTTGTTTGTGAATTTATGTAGTTAAGAGTCTGACTAGCATGGTGCAAGAATGATTTCTTGTTTAAATTAAAAATAATTCTTTTCATCTTACAGTTTTCAACTTTCATTTGCTAGAACCTCCTAAATGAATAAAAAAAAAATTCTCAGAAATTTTATATTTTAGCTGTTATTTTCTCCACCCTAACACTATAATGGCTTGGTCTATTTGACGACCTTGTAACCACCACAAAAAAATACAAAATAAACCTAAATAACCCCTCTTTCTTTCTAGAATGACCGCAAATTGAAACAGAAAATCACAATTATTTAATTTAAACACCTTCAGGCTCATACCAATTTAAATATTTTTATTTAATTTTCTTCTATTGCTCTTTGAACCATATCTAACTATCAAAGCTGCATAATAAAATGACAAATCATACAGCAACTGCATAGCACAATTTACAGAAAACAAAATACTGAATAACATAATGCACATGTAGATTGTGTGCATGCCTTGCTCAATATACTTTTTCTTATCTAATCTAGTAAGTTTTTACTTTTTTACATCTTAGTTATTTTTATAATAGTAAATAAAAAATACAGATAACAAACAAAAAATTTAATACTTACATATGGACCTTGTACTTTTTGCACTTGAAGTGTCAACTAAAGTTAACCCTAGTTTTTTGTATGGTTGTTTAGTATTTTTCTGAATTTTTATTGACTTTAAATATTCAGTGTAGAACATAAAGTAATACCATGCATAAAGAATACAATGTCCTTTAACTATTACAATTTATTTAGCTTTCTAACTAAGATATAAATAATTTAAAATAACTCCCTTACTGTGTTCCATGTGAACTTGGCAAAATCAAATTTGAAGCTGTAGGCCAAATAATTCAAAAGCTGTCATAAGAACGAGCTAACCTATTACATAATTCAGTAAATTAAAATATTTTATTTTTATTGGTTATAAATAATGTATAAGCAACTGTCAGAGAATTAATAACGTTTTTGGAAAGACAGTATATGATAGAAGGACTGGCATGTGGGCTCATCTTTCTGCTTTATATATGAATATCAAGATTGGAGGCTATAAATTTAAAATATGTCTCAGCAATATCTATATTATAACTATGTAACTTGTATTAAAAACCAGATGTCCAAATTGTGGTGGTAGTTTAAATGAGCAATTCAGAGTGAATAAGTCTGATGTGATACACAGAAAAGAAGATTAAGAATATATTTAAATATTTCCTTTTGAAATAAAAAAACTAAAACTTAAATAATAATAAAATAGTTTAACTGAATTCTGAACGTAACTCTGTAAAAAAGTTAGAACTTGCAATTTTACTTACCCGTATCCAGAGGGTTAACATCTATTAAGACGCATGTCTCATGTACAATCTAATAATTACAAGTTAGAAATAAAAGACAAGTTTATTGTCTGTCTTACAAAAATTCTTTATTGATTGCCCAGTACTTTGCATTTGACTCAGAACAAATTTTGAACAATGCCCTCTTAGTCGATGAAAGTACTACTTATCTGGTATTTTTGTCAAAGTGTTTGATAATTGCCATTTTTTACATGCAGATGGCACTGCAGTTGGAAGATTACTTACCTCCAGATACTACTGAAAGAAACTGATTTTAATTTCAGGAGACTTGACAACTTTGCGATATAGAGTATATCTTTATATTTTTAGTCTGAAATCTTTATTTTATGTAACATAACATAATTTATAACAATGTTTTGGGACAACTTGGGACCTATTGGTCCATCTTGACTGTCCCATCCTCTAAAACTATTAATAAATAAATTTAGAAACAAATCTTAAAGCCAATCCTTATGAAGCTTTCTCTTAAACTCATTTAACTTTACTGCCTCCCCAACATTTGAAGGGAACCCATTCCAAAGACCAACCACCCTGTTAGAAAAATAAAACTGTCTTAGCTGAAGATGACTCCTACCCTGCCAAAATTTATATTTGTGTCCCTTAGTCTATTCTCACTGTTAAGTATGAAAAAAGATGATGTATCAACACTATCAATTCCTTTAAGAATCTTAAACACCTCAATCAGATTCCCCCTTTTTTTCCCAAGAGAAAACAATTGGAGAGGTTTCAATCTCTCCTCATATGACAACCCCTCCATCCCAGGCACTATCCTGGTAACCCTCCTCTGAACTCTTTCCAAAAGTTCAATGTCCTTCCTAAGGTAAGGAGCCCAAGACTGAACACAATGCTCCAAATCTGGCCTAACCAGTAACCTATACAATGAAATTATGACCTCTTTAGACTTGTATTCAATATATATCTGTAGATACAACCTAAAATCCTTTTTTACCTTACCACTAGCAACAGCACACTGCTTGAATGGCTTTAGAGACTGTTCAACTATTACACCAAGATCCCTTTTATGACCCTGTGATGGTTATTTCCATCAAAATTATACTTATACCTCAAATTATGATAACCCACATGCATTATCTAATATTTATTATAATTAAAACCCATTTGCCATTTATTTGCCCAACTCACTAAGTGATCTAAATCCTTTTGTATAGCAGCAGCATCCTATTCACAGCTAGCAACACTCAAAACCTTACTATCATCAGCAAATTTAAGTACTTTATTGACCATTCATTCATCTATGTCATTGATGTAAATCAAAAAGAGCAAAGGTTATAAGACTGAGCCCTGAGGTACCCTACTTGTAACATTAATCCATTTTGACTGAACTCCATTTGTAACAGTCCTCTGTTTTCTTCCATACAACCACTCTTCTATCTAACTTGTTATTTTATCTTCTACACCTATAGAGATAATTTATGTGGCACCTTGTCAAATGTTTTCTGAAAATCCAGATACACCAAATCCCAAATCTACACCCTTACCCTCATCTACATAAGCAGTAACCTTTTCAGAGAATGTCAAAAGATTTGTAAGGCAAGATTTCCTTTACAGAAACAATGTTGACTATTGATTAAAATTATAAACTTTGTTAAATGACTTTGCAAAGCATCTTTCATCAGACTTTTGAAAACTTTTCTCACAACTGATGTAAGACTAAGAGGACTATAATTACTGGGAGAATATTTATCACTTCCCTTGAAAATAGGTTTTCAAGGAAGTGATGGTACCAGAGTATTGGATGTTAGCTAATGTCACTGAGGAGTGACATTAGCTAACATCCAATACTCTGGTACCATCACTTCCTTTGAAAAGAGGAGTGACATTAGCTAACATCCAATACTCTGGTACCATCACTTCCTTTGAAAAGAGGAGTGACATTAGCTAACATCCAATACTCTGGTACCTTGCAAAAACTAGTAGCAGTTGACTCACATATACATTCCTTAACTTAATTGATGCCATCTTTATTTGTATACATTGATAATAAATAAGTTGAATTAAATTTTAAATGCAACTCTGTAAAAGATCGTGACATGTGCATTATGACCTGCCCATTGCAAGAGGGTTAATATATCTTTTTTTTTTTAATTTAATTTTTTATTACTGTATTTTTATTATAGAAATGATCCTGCATTGTTAGTTAAGTATATGGAATAGAACTAATCTAAATCTAAGGTGGTCGAATCTCACGAGATATTAATGGGTTTATGGCTGAAAGTATTGTCAACAACAAAGGTACCCAACTGATGAAACAATATATTCTAATCTTTATAAGTAAGTAAAGTACATTTAATTAGCTAGACTCATTACCACAGGCATGTTTTCTTGGAAGCTCGTGCAGAATCTTGGGGTTTTCTTTTTTTTGATGAAGGACCACTCTCAGCACTTTGTAGACCTGTATTCAAATTTATAAGATTATTAACCAATAGGTAAATTTTACTTTTTATATAATTGATATTTGTGTCTATTTTTTACTTATTTGATTCATTTCATGGTCCTAACTTTTTTGTATATTTGTATCTCAGATCTTGAATTAATTGATATGTTGTAATTATGTTTTATATTAACAAAATGAAATATAATTATATATATACAATAATACTTAAAAATGTTACCTTGAACAGATAACTAATAGCTATATCCAGCAAAATAGTTTATGATTTGAGTTTTTACATTTTAATATACATATTCTAATTTGGTAAATAAAACTTTTGATTTTTACTGTCTGAGAAATATTTTGTTTGTAACAAAGATTTCATCCAGAACATTTCCAGTTATTGTAGCTAAAAAAAATTAAAGAAGTCAAGAAGTCTTTTGACCTAAAAATTATCTATCATAATAAAATTCAACATTTTAATAATTATTTGTATTTTAAATACAGATCTACCTCTATATATTTATATCTAACTTTATGTAACATTTTCTCTGTTATGATAAACTTTTTTCATCATGTCAAAATTTTGACTATTTTTTATATGATAATCCCATTGATTTCTAAGACAATTCTTTCATGTAATAGCTTTTCAATAAGTATTTGCCCAAGTGTGTTCAAATTTCAAATGAATTGGTGTAGTTAAACTAACTTTTAATATCATATGTAAAGTTTGGAGTTTCTTGTAAGTCATAAAAATACTAAGTATTTAACTGATAGTTTAAAAGTGCAAGTACCTTAGAGCCACGACTTTCAATAACACGCCAGTTAATTTCTTTAAATGCAAATAATCTAGAAGGAATTTCAAAACTCAAGACTTTGATGAGCAGTATTTTTTTTTTCAAAGTGAAAACTAAGTTATATTTTAAGGAATACAATTAAATCTTGAATAATAATATTTTGCATATTATTAGCATATTCTTATTCCAAAATACATCATTCTGAAGTTAAAAACATCTAGCATGCAACACTTTGTGGTAACAATAAAAATGCAATACATCATATAAAAACTGAATTAAAAATTCTACAAAATCATCACGACCATATGAAATTAGAAACATTTTTAATGGAAAACAAAATGTCTCCCTACCCATCTAAATTATTTTTTTCAGCGTTACCTTATCCTAGTTTGAAAAAGCACAATAAACAAATGAAAATAGCTTGTATAAGATAGAAACTGAGAAGCATAGAAAAATCTGCAACTAACAAACTATACATTAGGAGAACTAAAGAATAAATAATGATCTAGAAATGTGACATGCAAACATGTACAAGAGCTATAGAATGGAGAAAAACTGTCTCATACAGTGATAAACTTTCCATAAATTTGTATTTAGACAAGAATACACAGAAGTTTAGTGCACAGAGAAAAAGTGACAAACTTAATACATCTACAAATTAAGATAGCATAAAATATTTGAAATAATAAAACCAAAATAAAAACAAATTCTATTATGTATGAATTGTGAGTGATTTTTTTTTGGTTTCACGGTTCTGAAATTGATAAAGCAACGTATAAATCTATTCTGGAAAATCCTCTAAAGTAAATTACAATCTAAGTTTTTACCTTGAACCAAAGCATCATCAATTTTCTCTGGTAGCTCACTACGTTGTTGGTCATATTCAGGATCATGAAAATTGTGCTTAGGCATTGATCGCAATCGTTCTAATTTTGCTTTTTTACGTTCGGCTGCTTCCCTTTCTCGTTCTGCTTGCTTAGATATCCACTTTTTTAATCTGAAAACAAAATTTACAATATTTTTACAGACTAACAAAATCTGTTCAAGTTTTTTTGGTTATGTAGAAGCAACACGTAATCTCAACATACTTGATCTCTACAAACTAAAAAGTTTAAGAATTTAATATGTAAAAGAACAGTTGAGAACAATCATGTGATTAGCAGCAACAACTGAGAAGATAAGGACACAAGTTCACTAGCACATCATGACTCTTACAAAACACAAATTATGCCTCCTCAAAAGTGAGCCATGAATCCTGATTCCCCAAGTCAGAACCTGCATTCACAATACATATTCTTGTTGTAGTTGACCAATCAAAAACAGGCACCTGAATGTGGAGATATTTCTGCTTCTTGTCACAGTCACTAGGTAGTCCTCTATACATAAGGTAAAGAACAATACAATGCAACCATTCCCTTAAACAAATGCAACCCTAGACTGGACGGTCTACAGAAGATAACACTTCAGGTTGAATTAAGCACATGACCTCAACCAGATGTTAACCTGTTCTAGATCGGAACTTGGGAAAATTAAAAAATGATGGCGATATGAGATACATACTATAAGAGAGTGATGAGATATAAAATATTTGGATACTACAGTAACACATTTTAATTTAAAATATGAGAAAAAGTACATACAATATTCTGTGGCCTAATTGGTTATAATCACTTTATGTTGACACAACTGTATGCAGGACAATAATGAGAAGCAGAGATAAGTGCCAAATTTCAGTAAAAACAGCACTGTATATTTTATAAATTAAATGATAATTTTTTAAATTTAATAATTAAATATATTTGACATATGACCAAAAAGTGTTAAATGAATAACTAAAAGAAATTAATAGACAAGTAAAAAAATATTGCCACATTTTTTTGAGGACTGTTTTAAGATAGGTACCTTTTTTCCTCATTAACATCCCGAAGTCTACGTCCACTTAAATCTCTACAAGCTTCTCGATTAGTTGTTTTCTCAATTTGAGCACCAATAGCACGAAGCATAGAACCAAATCCTTTAGAAAAGAAATTAAACAACATAACTTAAAAAGCAAATATTATGGAACATTTTTCTGAATCTTTGAATAATGAAACATGAAGATCTTTACTGTAGATTAATAATAATTCTTTTGTAGCAGTGCAAATATTAGGTTAAAAATGTATACAGTATTCATAAGCAAAATGTATTATCATGCAAACATCAAAGTAAAACTTGTACACAATTTAGTAATGACTGATAAAACAAAACAAAAAGAATGAAATGCAATGTACTGAAGTTAGTTGTCTACATAAAATGTAATATATAAAATATACAGGTCTACAAGAAGTGGTTTATATTAAATCACATAGTAGAAAAGTAATCTCTACAATAAACTTTGCTTACCTTTACACCAAAAAAATTACAATTAAATTCCAAAGCTGTCAAATGTATGAAAGCCATCCTGATATTTTTTTACAGTTCATTTTATAGATAATACATCATACATCACCATTAACCTTGATATTCTACTTAAGTATATGTGTTGTACAATTACAAAAGGCATTTTTAAGTTGCATTCCTTTTTATACTAACCTCCCTTTCCACCAGGTAACAACAACACAAGGCGAGCCACAGATCCATCTTCAATGAATTCTTCATCTTTAACATAATGTTTATTTACAACAACCTGGAACTGATTTACAGGAATTCCCTGAAAGAAAGATTAAAAAAAAAATTAAAAGATTTATAAAAATGTTTCCCATTTCATAAAATTATATATTTTTCTTTAAATGTACAATCATCATTATATATAAGACATATATATACAAGCTTTTTTACTCTTTTATAACTAGTTCAGAATACATCTGTAGTAAAGTATACTAAAGCAATTTTTCTAAATTTTTTTGCATGTGTTCTTCATCCTAACAAACTGTACAAAGAAAGTTCATAAATATATACTAATTTTTTTCATCTGGTAGAGGTTAAATACTGCAAGTGCTATCCTATAGAAGCTTTAACCAGTCTGATCCTGTATCCACTCCCAGGAGTAGGGAAAGCCCGTATCAATACATGATAAAAACACTTGCACAAACTGGTATGAAATGGGACTTATTTCCTTGAGTACATCATTTGAAAAAGTAATTGACAAAGATAATCTATGATTATGGGAAACCACACTAGGACCCCTATATCTGACTTGAAAGTGCAGTATAAGATTATTCTTTCTCCAGTCCTTGTCTCATGCAGACTTGATTATTCTTCCTGCCCTGGCTTATGCAGACATTAAAGAAATCTTTCTCTAGCCTCAAGAAGCCAATGAAGTTACAAGAGAAAGTAAGAAAATGGCCAATAGCATTGAACTTACTGTAAATAAGTATTGTTTTATTTGTCTTTATAAGTAAAGGCTTTGGTTGGTCAAATGTATTCTTGTATTGGGACACAAGTCTTACCTGGCTGTGCCACTATTTCAAAAAACACTTTATAAGTAAAGGCTCTGGTTGGTCAAATGTATTCTTATATTGCGACATAAGTCTTACCTGGCTGTGGCACTATTTCAAAAAAAAATTTATAAGTAAAGGCTTTGATTGGCCAAATGTATTCTTGTATTGCAACATAAGTCTTACCTGGCTGTGCCACTATTTCAAAAAAAAACAACTTTATAAGTAAAGGCTCTGGTTGGTCAAATGTATTCTTGTATTGGGACATCAGTCTTATGTTTCATTCTAAGTTCTTAGTTGTGTAAGCTCATTTATTGTGTCAATTTTTTTTTCTTAAAAATAAGATACTGATGTATATGCCTTGATGCTATTCATTGACCTTGGAGAAGAGTGAAGAAAAAAATGTGAAATACTTAGCAAGTAACTGAATGAAAAGACAGAAAATAAATTAACAACAATGTGCAAACCACTACAAAAAGACAGATGTATAGCTTTATTTTAAAATAAAAAACAACAACAAAAAACATTAGATATTTAATTTCATACATTTCTTTCCATTTACCGTGAATAATTTGTGATTTTTTTTTTACATATCCTGAGACATGCTGCATTTGATCTTGACAATTTTAAGGCTAACTACTTTGATTGGCCTCTTTAACAAGACTCATACTAGTTTTTGATTGGAGCAATTTTTTTTAACTGCAATAATATCTTGAATTTAACATGACACAGACTCTATGCCAGAAAATGCCTTAGCTGAATTCTGCATAGTTATCAAACAGTATTATTGTAACTGGTTCAGTCACTGACAAAGGATTACAAGAGTGAATGAAATGTTAAAGTTTTTCATAAAGCTACTCAACTGGATTGAGATTGGTGACCGTGTTACCTATGGAAGATGACTAGATGTCACTGTCATATTCTTCAAATCAAGTTCAGGTAATATTAGAACATTGGATCATTCTATTATCATCTTGAAAATGTTTTTGTCCATCAAGTTAGAAAAACAATGTTGTAATGTGGAGAAAACATTCATGTACACACTGTTATTTTCCCCATTTAAAGAAAACAAAGGCCCAACATACTATGTGAATATATCATTGCATCATCTACACCAGCTTGCACTATTAAAATAAAACAAGTAGGGTAAAGCATCTCCTGTGATTTCATCCATATCTTTGCTCTGCAATAAGAAAAGGGCCATATAAGACCACATTTCATGCATATTCTAAGCACTATTAACTTCTGCATTTCTGTTTTCTTCTGAGATCAGAAGTCTTTGGACTTGTTTTAAGTAGTTATATTATAATTTTTGTAACATACATTTCATGGTATCTTTGGAAGTACTTAAATACTAATGATAGATAAAGAAATTTATTAATTGAGACATAGTCCGATGTCTGTTACACCTTACAAACTTATCCAAATTTTCTTTCCCTTAGTCTGTCATGACTGGTTAGCAGCCACAAGCTTTCTCTCATAGCAGATACATTATGTAACGAGTATATATTGTTAATATGAATAACTGGAGGTTCTACACAAATTAACATTTTCTAACACTGAAAATATATTTCCAATAGGTACTTACTTTTCTCACCCAAAACTATCTCAACTTCAATTTGCCCTCTAAGCATTGCTAAAATTTTTCAACAGCACATCAGTCATTTATAGCCCTTCATTTTTGTGCCATTGCAGCAATGTGTTGATCATGTGACTACCCTCCACCAATCATACTACCCCACCTATATTAGCGCAGGTAGCTCTCTCTACTATTGCAGCGCAATCCTCACTTTCAAGAATTGGTAGATACAAGCTAGAAACACTGGCAAACCAGTGAGGAGGTAAGTACCAATTCAGTGTTAGAAAATGTTAACTTCTGAAATGGTACTACCTCCTCTCACCCAATGCTGGACAAAGGAAAAGATCCAGGTGGAGACCACTCCAATCTGGATTGAAAGCATCTACCCACAGAGCTGAAGGGTGAAGAACTGGAGATCAAAAAGGAAGGAAGTTTCGCATTCTAGTGAGTGGGAAACACACACACACACACACACATATATATATAAATATATATAGTAAGTGGGTGTGAGTGACTGATTGGGCATGGGAAGAGGTGAGCAGAATCCAGTCATTCATGTAATAGTCTGAAGAGCCAGCGGGGGAAGATGAAGTGCAAAAGAGTAAACCAATCGACAAAATACATACAAAGCTGAAGAAAAACCAAATGGCATGCTCAGAACTGGAAGACCAAACCCTGTTGGACGAACCGAAGTAAAATGATGTGACACTGGGGCTTGAAACCCACCAAAGTGAGGGGTAAGACTCCAGAGTAAAGCAAGGTGTCTCCAAATAATACAGCTGGGAAAGAGCTATGATGGAACTCCAGTCTCCCATGTGTTTTGGAGACAACAAATAGATGGGAGTAAAATCCCAGTTGAGTGGGCATCATCTTTTTGATAGCTTCTTTATGTAGTAGTTCTCAAACAGACTCAGCAAGATGACTGGATGAGGTATGACCCAGAGGAGGAGGGAAGATCTGGAAAGTGGATAGAGGGGAAGCAAAATGAAAGACACAAACTAAACATACTGAGAGAAAGTACTCCTTACTAAAGAACTAACAAAAGATAGAAAAGGTACATAAAAGTAACAAACCTGCAAAACTACGAAATTTGACCTAAAACATAAAACAATAAGTAACACCTAAAGTACAAAAACATTAACAAAACTTAGAAGATAAACAAACCTTAAGTATCAAATATACAAGTCCATTCAAAGAATCTATAAGACAAAGGACACAAAAATAAAACTGACCCTAAAGAACATGAGAATAAAAAGGTACCCAGTTAATAATAACAAAGTTTAACTCTAATCTAATCCCCAATTAGACGTGATTAATAGTAAAGAAAAGGGAACTTACAAACAAAATAACATTAACAGTGAAAAGAAGTAAAATGCAAACAAAAATAAAGGAATAATCAAACTCCAAATGCAAGTTTAAAATTATATTAACCTAGATGGTAAAAGGAGTATAAAATCTAACTTACCTAACATTGAGCAGAAAAGACACAAATGAACTAAATTATTGAGTGTGGAAGCTCACATAAAGTTACTGAACATAGGTATACCTACGGGGAATGAGAAATACTCACTGAGAAACTTACCATAGATCTCCTGGGAAAATAACAATACCTGACCCAGCAGATTATGTAGAGGTGCAGTAACAGGTGGAAAGTGCTGTAGAAAGACAATTTTCTCTCAGTAGTTATATCCCTCTTCACAAAGATCATAACATGAAAGGAAAAATGATCAGCTAAATGTAAGACATAAACTCCTCACGAACTAAAGCCTCTTTGACCCTAGGACCTGGGGACTAGTATTCTACTTATGATGCAAATTTCAGCATCTGCCATATTAAATCTCAAATTCATATGAACAAAGTAGAATTTGGAAAAGAAACATTTCTAAAATAAACAAGTAGAAACAATGGAAATAAAACACAAGAAGTCAAACTTGAAATTGAAACTGATATAAAATTGTGATCAAGCACAATCAAAATCTTGTAGTCACATGGGGAATGACTTAAAACACATGTCTATACACTAGAATGCCAATTGAGAAAGTGAGGATTGCACTGTAATAACAGAGAAAGTTACCCGCGCTAGTATAGATAGTGCAGTATGATCTGTGGATGGTAGTCACATGATCAACACATGTTGCTGCAATGGCACAAAAAATGAAGGGGTATAAAAGACTGGAGCACTTTCAAAAAATTTTAGCAATGCTTACAGGGCAAATCAAGGTCGAGAGATGGGTGAGATGAGGTAGTACCATTTTGGAAACCTGTTTATGCAGGGTTCTACTAAATGACTGGTCAATGCATCACTTGTCCATTTATAAAATTAAATTAGATTAATTATGAGTAAGTACCAGTACTTTTTTGCTAAAAACAAAAATACTTATTCTTTATTCAATCTCATTATACAAATATAAAAGTTATGGTCTAATTTTAAAATTGCATACAAGTTTATACTTGTCATCTCTAAACAGTACATGTACACCCATGCAGCAAATCTTTTAAACCTTATGAATTAATAATAGTATTTGAAAGACATATATAAAAATATGGAACATTTGGATTGAGAGTTTTGAAATAAAAAAAGAAAGGAGAAGATATTTATTAGCATTCTTCTTTCACAGTTGTTAGCATGTGTTTAAAGCTCGTGGTGGAATGTTTTCTCTCTCAGCATATGAAAGATCCTGATACATAATTAGCTATTTCAGACCTTGTCTTAGTACTGAAAAGGATATGGTTAAAATTTAGTTGTAGAAAAGCATTTAAGTGTGAGCATTATAACCAGTTGTAGAGTTAATAAGAGTTGTGTCCCAGAACTTAGAAAAACTTATGCCTATAAATAGAAATATATTTTGAGAGAAAGATTGTATGGTTAATCTAAACTAGACCACCGTGCCCGATTGGGTCAACCACTATTCAGAGGTTATTTTTTGACTGAGAAAATAATCAAACAAACAAACAATCTCAGAGTTTCAGTAGTATATAGATAGATTCTTCAAGATTTTGTTTTTGTCATCTTATGCCTTTTAATGAAGATGGAAACATTGACAGGGAAATAATATAATAGCCAATGCTCGTTGAAAGGTTTTCGTTTATAAAATTTTGTTGTAGTTGTCAACTTGAATTTTATTTTATTACCTCGTCATATATATGTAATAGGACCATTAATGTCACACATTATATGGGCCACATCTTATGACCCTTTGTCTTGCAATATGCTAAAGCAATTGGCCCTCAATTCAACTGGCCCCCCACTATGCTAAACTAGTTGACACATTGTATTAACCCTATCTCGATGGATCTTCTTATGGTCAGGGGTCAAAGAGCATGTCAACACATCTGTAGACTTACATTCAGAGTTTTATTGAACTACTATTTTATAAATGTATGTCAATACGTTTGGTATCAAATTGTAGATTATACTTCAAATTTTAGTATTATACATTAGTAATGTTCTTAATTTAAAAGTAAATATTTAAAAAAATCCTAAATATTAATTTTTATTTGTCACATGGTATGTTGAATGCAGCTTTGGTTCAAATTAGAAGTTCGTGATGCCCAAATACAAAGTCTATAATTTCTTATGAAGTAAAAACTCAAGTTACCAATATTAAGAATCTAGAATATAAGATAAGAACCTTTTATCTTTTTTATTTTCTGAGATACCATTATACTTAGTGAATCAACTGAGGTGACCCCACTCACCTCTTCCATTTTTTGAAATATGTGCTTACATACACCTAATTAGCCCAATGATGTGTGTTTAAACAAGTGAAAGCTCGGAACGCCCCCCCCCCCCATGCGTTTTTTTCAGCTTCTGCAAAGTGTTAACATGGGGAACCCTTTCTTTTCATGTTAAAATCAAAGCGATAAGATAAGACATTATCGAGCCCAAAAAAACTTTTTTTTAAGACCCAAATACAGCTTAGTTACTAAGCCTGAAAAATTATAGTGGAATTCTATGGTATTGATACAGTAATTTATGATTTTTTTGTTATTTCAAAATGCATATATATATAAAAACCTAAGAAAATTAATTTCTTTTATATCCTTCACGTGGGAAATTTGACAAGACTTAGCAAATTATGGCAAGCAGCAAACGAGTACGAAGTTTGTAAGTAGAAGAGATCATTGTTTTTCTATACATTATTTACTGTTCTGTGTTTTAAGAAAATTAACTGAAATTTAAGAGCTTATTTGTAAATAGTAATAATATATATATACATATGTGTTATGTATTATAATTGAAATGTGACTATATTTTACAAAATACTAGTCCACTAAAACACAGCCAAGACAGGTCACTGTGTAAAAAGCAAAGTTTTATATTCTTGAATACAGTAACATAAGTGCATATGCGCCACGACACTCCAACTTCCATAATGTTAGTGAGAAATGGCTGAAAGGTCAATAAAATAAAATAAACAATGTATAATGCTATGAGATTTAAGCTATTTAGACTAAATATTTGTGGTTTGATGTTATAATCTGTTGTCTTTCTAGAATGAAAAAAAGCATATCTATTTACTAATTTTTTATGGTGGTTACAAGGTTGGTCAAATGGACCAAACCCATACTGAGATACAATAGTGAAAATAACAGATAAAATAGTTTTTTTCTAAAATATGTTTGATAATTATCTGGAGGTTATAAAGATTTTGCATTTGGAATTTGACAATTTTCTGATGCATAAAAGTATTTTTAACCTTAAAAGCACAATTATTTTGCATGTTGGATAGTCAACATATGAAAAAAAAAATTCATGTGAAAATTATTACTTAAAAATCTTAAAACTTAATAAAAAAGTCTGATATTTTGTGTATGAAAGCCTTGTACTGTTTACATGTAAACTGAAAACCATATTAAAAGGTATAGTATGAAAACTATAACAAGCACAGAATGTCGGTTCCTGGGACCAAGCCCGTAGAGAGAGAGTTAAGAGAAAATTGACTAAATATAATTCTTGAAACATGAAATTTTCTGTGGTTCATAAGTACAGCACTATGGTGTTTCATGCAGGCCAACTATATTTTAAAAGTAATGATAAAATTAAAGAAGGCATTGAAACGTAAAATCCTACTTATGACATAGAAAACAACTTAAAAATGCTTCCCCTAAAAGATTTAAAATAAAAATACATAAAAGACGAATACAAAAATATACGAGAAAAAGTTATAACATTAACAACTTTTTCAAAGAAATCTATAGAAATAAAAATGTTATCACTGTATGATGTATCTCATACTTGTTTGAAATCATTATTTTTAGTAGTACGAGTACTAAATTCATAAAATGAAATTATAAATGAATCATTGAATGTCAATCGACTCTCCAACTTCCAAATCCAGGAATAAATGAAATTTTTTCTAAAAATAGTAAAATTACTTCAATCTCATTTTTCATTATCATACTTTTATTTTTTAATGTTACTCTTTAATTAGCTTAAGTATATCTCCAGAAACCTTTTTATTTTTAAACTAAAATTAAATTTTTAGTAGTTATAGTACTATAACTCAGTAGTACGATGATTTACACTATCTCAATCAGTCAAAAACTCAATATTCTTACTTGTTAATTATCTTAGTCTTACGCCTACCTGAGATAAAAATACTGATTCTTTTAAATCTTTAATCCTGATTCTTGTTTCTTTGTTGCTTAATGCGATACATGACGACTGGCGTGAATCAAAAGATTGAATAAAAATAACCATTCTGAATATCGTACGAAACAATTCTACAAAAACTACTACTTAGCCCTAAACGTTTTTTAGAAAACTACAGAACAAACCCAATCCTGTCAGTAAACACACACTGAAATGCTATTGACAGGACATACTGCTTGTAGGTTTGTTCTATTAAAAAGTGTTAATAACGTAACACTTTTGAAACGTCTTTAACTATCAAACTGTAAAGATGTATCAACTAAATTATAATTGTTATATTGGAATAATATTAGTCTTATTCTATTTTTAAATACTACATTCTTTATTTGGTCCCTTAGGGTTTTTTTCGGAGAAGTGTGTATAATAGTATTTCAACCACATTATGTTCGCCTTATCCATTAGCGACAAACGTATCACAGACTATACTGTGATGACAGTTATGCTTATCATATTCGTAAACACGATTAGAGTTTATAGGTTTGCCACAATAAACTGAAACTACTTACGAAGTAAGTGTATACAACGCAAGAATTAAAACACGGATAAAAGTTTACAGTGGATAAGACTAGGGTAATTACTATAAAGCTAAGTTACGAAAAAATTTGCTAGTAACTCAACATACGGAGTAAATGTTTCAAAAAATGTTAAAATAAGCACATTGCTTTTTACAAGTCATTAATTTATATCTGCTTAACACTAATCTACATTAACATGATGAATACCGTTTAACTATTGTATCTTTATTTTTGGTACTCTAAATAAAGCAAGTTATTTTTGAAACAGGTCACTACAATAACTTTTTCGATTGATCGAATTGTAACGAAAAGTGCTGTACCGCATTGAGAAAAATATAAAGCTTCTGAGGTTAGAGTTGTTTATTTATTTATTTTTTGAATTTTGTGCAAAGCTGTCTCTAATTTAGCAATAATAGACTAGAGGGAAGGCAGCTAGTCAACATCACCAACCTCCAACTCTTGAACTATTTATTTATCAACAAATAGTGGGATTGACTACAGAATTATAACGTCTCCACGGCTGATAAGATGAGCAAATTCGGTGACAGGCGTTCAGGTCTACGACCTTCAGACTGCGAGTTGAGCGTTCTAACCACAAGGCCATGTCAGACTTTGAGGTCTAATTTTGCTATAACTAAATAAAAAATCAAAATATTTATCTTTTAGTAACTAGTAATGAAATCCCACCGAATACCTATTTTTGTGATGTAAAAAATCATCCTTATAGAGTTGTGGTGCAGCTGCTTATGGTATTGTTACGTCTCCGTTTGTTAATTAATTTTCCGTAAC